ACGAAGCTTTAGGAACTACAAAACGCAACTCAACACTACATTCCTACTATTAACGAAATTCCTATACACAATAAACAATACAGGTTTCCCCCTGTCCATAAAGAAGAAATCGATAAACAAGTCGGCGAATTATTGAATATAATTTAGTCGAATATTCCACATCACCCTATAACTCACCATCTGGATAGTACCGAAAAAACCAATTCACAAGGCAATAAACGTTGGCGTATGGTTTAGATTATCGGGATTAAACGAAAAAAACTATAGTAGAACGCCTATCCTCTTCCTAATATAACAGATATACTTGACCGATTAGGATCAGCCAAATACTTTTCAATATTTGATTTAGCTTCCGGATTTCACCAAATTTCTATGTCACCTAAAGACGCACACAAAAGCAGCTTTTTCTACGCCATATGGGCATTATCAATCAAGCGCATGCCATTCGGTTTTAAAAACGCACCTGCTACTTTCCAAAGACTTATGGATAATGTATTATTGGGACTACAAAAAACGAATTATTCGTCTATATGGACGACATTGTCATTTACGCACGATCATTAAGAGAACACGAAATCAAATGTGAAAGATTAATGCAAAGATTACGAGACGCGAATTTACAATTACAGCCAGATAAGTGCGAATTTCTAAGCACGAAGTAGCTTATTTAGCCATATATAGGTGCGAACGGAGTCAACCAGACCCGGACAAAAAAATCAATAATGCACTTTCAACTCCAAAAATCCGAAAAACTAAAACAATTCCTTGGTTTAGAGCCGGATATTACCGAAGATTTATACCTAACTTTTCTAAAGTCGCAAAACCATTAAAGATTTATTGAAAAAGGATAGCATATTCAATTGGCAATTAAAACAAGTAGAAGCTTTTAACTCTTTGAAACATTCGTTATGTTCAAATCCCATTCTCCAATATCCTGATTTTACTAGACTTTTCATACTAACTACCGACGCATCAGGGTATGCCATAGGCGGAATTTTAAGTCAGGGACCGGTAGGAAAAGATCTTCCTGTCTCAATACACTTCTCGAATTTTAAAACACTGCGGAACAAATTATTCCACGATCGAAAAAAATGCTAGCCATCATATATTGTATTAGCCATTTCAGACCCTACTTATACGGAAGACCTTTTACTATAATAACAATCACAAACCTTTAATTTGGCTACATTCTATAAAAGACCCAACTTCCAGACTCTGGAAGTGGAAACTAAACTAGCAGAATACAATTACGAAATTAAATACAAAAAGGGATCACTAAATAACAACGCCGATGCTTTATCGCGAAATCCACCCACTGATTTAGTTCTACCAATATTCGCTTCAGACAATGAGACAATCATCCGACAAATCCATATTTTCAAGCAGACCAGGACCTTCCGTCAGATCAATTGAAACAAATGCTTTAATCCCTTACTGCAGTAACAATATTGATAATCTAATTATGTTAATATAACCGAAAACGATTCCGATTCAGATGACGAAAGTTCAATTCCTATAACGATAATCACGACTATGCAAATATGTCAAATACAAATTTAGAATATGACTATACGTAGACCCAGCAGTTCCTGAAACTATACCTATTATACAACCCTCTCCCGTAATTCGATTAAAGTAAGAATACGCGAAATAAGAGACAACTTATTAACCAAAAGGATAATCACGTAATTTTTATAAGTCTAGACGGATCAACCCTACGACAAGGGAGCCGAACTTTATTCCACTGCAAATCTTTTACCCACATACAAAAATCTCAATTTTGAAAGAGTTAACGTAAAGAAAATCAAATTAAATAATTTAATATCAATCCCCATAAGAACAAACAATCGACTGTCTATAGAACCGCGAACTGTGAAAATTATATACGCTTTTTATTAGACTGTGTTAACGAATTACAACTAACTTTCTTTAGCATTAGTAAAACGCATAAATTCGATGACATTCCCTGGTCTTATATCGTTAACCAGTTAAAAAGATTTTCCACGACACCGACACCCGCGTAAATATAACTATTTGCCAGAATCTAGTTGGCAATCCTATCCCTACGGAACGTGTAAATTAATTTCAGAAAACCATGCTTCAGCATACGGTGGCCATAAAGGAGTTACGAAAACATTTAATAGACTTCGACCTCATTATTTTTGGAGAACAATGAAACAAGATATTCAAGAATTCATTAAAAATGTCGCGAATGTCAATTAAAGAAATTAACGCGCGTTAAAACCAAGCAACCAATGATTATTACGGATACCCCCGGGACAGCTTTTGACAAAGTTTCACTAGACATAGTAGGGCCATTTCCTATCACGAATAAGGGAAATAAATATATTTTAACCATGCAAGATTTATTAACAAAGTACTCCATAGCAGTACCATTAAAAGAAGCCATTTCATTAACGATAGCCGACGCTTTTACGAAAGAATTTATTGCATTTATGGAACTCCCAGGCTATCCTTACCGATCAAGGTACTAATTTTTTATCAACTTTAATACGTATCCTAACAAAGAAATTCAATATTCAGCATTTTAAAACCACTGCTTATCATCCTCAATCAAATGGATCTATAGAACGGTCACATCACGTATTAATAGAATCTTTAAAACACAAATCGATAAAGAAGATAATTGGGACAAATACATTAAACTCGCCATGTTCTCCTACAATACAAGCGTCCACAAAGGAACAAAATTTTCACCATACGAACTATATTCGGACGACTAGCCAGATTGCCATCCGCGTATCAACCTATTGAAGAACCTCTAGAACCTACTTATCAAGAATACATAAACACTTTGTTCAACAAACTATATGATATCCGCGAAAGCGCGACAAAATCTTATTAGAGCCAAAGAAAGAAGCAAATACTATTATGACCAACGTATAAATTCTCGACAGTTTAAGATAAGAGATTATTTTTCTTACTAAAGGAACCGAAGAAAGGAAAATTTTTCAGCACATTACGTAGGACCCTACGAATAATAGAGATCCTACCTTTCAACAACGCCAAAATCCTAATCGACCATAACCACCACGGATTGTCCATATCGATAAGTTAAAATTAGCACATATAGAACCAGGTTGAAAAACAGTATCTCTAATTTGGGTTTCAGATGTGTTGGCATCGCCAACCAGTCTATCCAGGACAAACTACAAGCTCCTCGCTACATCAGATATTCGCATTCGCAAGCTGCGTAAAGGTATATGGATATCGTAACGTAGTCACTTATTCTGCACGTTGCACGAATTGTTATTCAAATCTCGATCTAGCCGCACGTTCCTTTTACCAAGCACGGTATACTCACCTCGTTGTGATTGGATTAGTTTACCCTGAACCACAGTGTTCTGTATGTTCCGAGCTCCTACAGTTTCCAAACCAATACGAAGTTGTATAATTTGCACTAGTTATTTAATGAGCATAAATCAAGAACTACCCTTTTAACCACCTCTAGTTGTTTAAAACTTAAAAAAAAAAAAAAAAAAAAATGTCTTTCAACAATCCATGCGATCACAACGCAACAGCTTCTAACACGTACTACGAACACCCTAATATTGTTGAACTCCACACCCTGTTACAGAGATTCCCTTTAATACAGAAAATGATAGAATTCTTTCCTAACATACACAGAGCTAGATGCTATAAAGCACTATTTATGATAACTATTGCCAACCTGTCGCATCACGCGAAGAACCCGATCCGTACCTAAGGACATCCGCAATTATCACGTTCTTGTTTGTGAAACTGCACCTCCTATTCCATGCTTCAACTGTCGCTATGCTTGTTATAAAATCGAACCCGTAACTAAATGCGAAGAATGTTTCTTCCACCTATATTCATATGTAGTAACGTATGGGAAAGCAACCATACCATCAGACACTGGGACGGAAGGTACCCACATTAATCATTACCAGCCTTTTTTTTTTTTTTTTTTAAGTCAGGAAATTGCCTAAACCAACTTCGCCGGTCCTGACCCCTGAGGGAGTGTCAGGAGGCTTTGTGGTGATTCCCCCCGTAGTATCCCGAGGGTCTATCGGACGGGGGCCCGACCTAAAACCTGACTGAAGCCCTGGTCGTATGGGTGTTGTCCACCGCGGAACCGCTAATGCATTACATCACGGTGGACACCCGACCGGCGTCCATTAGAGGACACATCCCCGAGAGGATACTACAGTATCCCCCCGGAGAGGACATTCCCTTGCCCCGAAAGGGCATCGGAGGGAGCCGGGCTACTAGCTCCCCCCGGACTTCCCTGGGTCGACGTGCAATGGGATCAGGGCCCCCACCCTTCTCCCTGCCGAACCCGGTTAGTGAGACGGCCGCAGCCGCCCACCCCACATTTAAGACGTCACAGGACGTCACCAACTATATGGACAAACATATATACAGACATATACACGTCCACAAAGAAACCAAATAAGGGCCACAGGCCCAGCCCTCTAGGGGCCAACAGCGAAGGCACAGTGGCCGAAAGACATATAAAGGTGGTGCATGATGTTCACACCACCTATGGACGAAAGACGAGAAACTAAGACAAAACATGAACCTGGCGCGGGCAAGGAGGCCGCGGAGTCACCTTTCAGCAACCTCCCCGGCACTCCAAACCCATCGCCGCTACCTAGTACAGACATAACAGCTACAACATTTAAACACTACTTAGCTGCTGAGGCAGCCTCGATCTCCAAAGGCCGTCCCCCATCAGGACGGCCCGGAGCCTGGCGCCTGTCCTTCGCCCCGGTTGATCGTTGCCCGGGAGGAGGGGGGAACGAAACGCACCCCCGACCCCCCAGGACATATCGAGCCGACTCCCCACCGTCCGAGCAAGCCGGACAACGGGGAGTGGCGACGCACCCCGCCGCTTGGTGTCCCTCGACACCACAGCGGTAACAACACCGCGAGCGATCTACCTCGGATGCGCAATTAACCCGCGCATGCCCCAACTTGAGGCACCTGAAACACCTCAGAGGCCGGGCACAAAGTACCTCGACCTCCAGGGTGTTCCAGCCTACACGGAGTTTACCCGTCGACAAGGCCTTTCGGCCAACAGCCAGCGGGCAACGCACCCAAAGGGTGCTCAAGGGGGACCGCGGCAGGGACCGAATCGACCCGATCCGGATATCCCCCGCGCTGCATCCCCCCAGAGACCCCAGCGCCTCCAAAATCTCCTCGCGCGAGGCAGTCTCCTTCCCCATAGTACCACGAAGCCTGAGCTCCATGGTTTTCTGGGGGCGGGAGACCACCACGTCTCCTCCCGAGAAGACCTCCCGCAATCTACCTGCAAACAGGTCCGCCTTCGCAGCCGTGTCTTTTCCAGGGACCTGCAAAAGCAGGCCCCCAGTCACACCAAACCTCATCTTCATCGGGCCAATGCCCAACTCCTCGGGGTCAACGCGCGACCTCGCCTCCTTCAAAATGTCCGAGTAGGACCGGCCCCTCGTAGAAACGAGTTGTACAGCCGACCCACTCGGAACTCGCGCAGCTCGAACCACTCGGCCCCGACGCGCACCCAACCCAGGGCCAGCCGCGAGGCCCGACGTCCGAGCTCCCCCAGGACCCAGGCCACCCGACCCATCGGCAACCATAACAGTCGCCGACGAAGCAGGCAAACCCAGCCCCCGGAGAGCAGGCCGCCAATCTACCGCCACGACCCCGCCTCCCCCGCTTACGCATGGAGAGGACAGGGGAAACCTCGCTGGTAGAGGGAGCGGAGGCAGGCAAAACTGCCCCATTCCCCCGAGACTCCAGTGAGGACCTGAGGGACTCTACAGCCCGCCTCAGGCCCCCAAGCGCCCCAGAAAGACGCTCATCGATAAGAAGACCCACCCGCGCTATTAGCTGCTAGTGTGGGTCCTCCCGCAGAGCCACATCAGAGGAGGACTCAAATAGAGTCCTCCGAACCGTAGAGACAGTCCCCTCACCGAAATTTCCGGTTCGGAGTCCGCCCCTCTACTCCGCTTCCGCCGCGACTTCCTCCTTCGAGGGGGCGCTTCTTTCTCCCCAAAAGAGGGAGGAAGGGAGCAGCCAATCTCCTCATCGACTCCAGATCTTCAAGGAGCTTCTTGTTTTGAGCCTCCAGTGAGGCAACTCGAGCTTCAAGTCTTTCGACTTCCTCCGCATAAGCCCGGCAGTTGTTCGCCAGGATCTGCTCCCGATCGAGGACCTCTACCGGGCTAAGGTGAAATCCGGGCTCCGACACGTCAAGCGCGCCATCCAAACTCCCAGGGGAGGCAGAGGCAGCGCCCAACGCATCTTCACCCATACTCACATCAGGGATTCCACCCATCGGCGAGTCTCCCCGAAACTCCTCGACCTCTTTGGTAAGGAAGTCAGGCTCTTCCTGGATAGCTTCCAGGCCACGTCTTTCCAGCTCCGAGGCCTCACGACTTACGTACTCCACGCATTCGTGGCGGCCACAGAACTTCGTGACACCACGCGAGCACCTCTTCACAAAGGCGCGGACCTGCTCCTTTAGGTGCCTATATGCGTCACTCTGACGATAGGCACGTACCTGCGCATCTGAGAGGAATTGCCAGACATCGATCGCGAGATTCCTCGGATCGACATTCTTACCCAACTCCTCCCAGGTAATGGTCAGCTCGATCAGCTGACCCTCCACGTCCTTCTTCGGCTTGATCCTCGGCGCTGTCGCTTTCCAATCCACGGACCCAGCCGGCAAATCCGTGGACGACCTGTCGTCTGTTGACGACATGGAGGGAGCCAGGCCTGCACCCCCCCCCCCCCCACGCCGGTTCCTGGTATCCGAACCCAGGACGTTCGCTTTCTTCTCGGAACTACTCATATCTGAAAAGAAAAATTGGTTTTTTTCTGTCGGGGGTTTTCCTTCCCCTTAGGAGATTGCCTTGCCTGGCTAACGGGGCCTCCCCCCCGGGTGTTATCTTCGGTGTTTTCCTTCACCTAGTGCAGTGGACAAGTCCTTTTTAGGGCCTGCACGCCCATCGCACCTCGTTCATCCGTCACCACACACTCCAGCTCGGGTACCTCGGGATTGCGACACCCGTACACTACAGGGATGAGTCTGTAGTGCCCCTGAGGGGAATCATTACCAGCCTACGCTATAAAACAATGCACTAATAATTATTATTATTTTAATAGATGTAAGGACAAATGACCACCGCGTCATATAAAGATTATTCACGTATAATAATATATGTATTCCTGATTGCAGGTTCGCTATCAGCTCGGACGCCTATAAGATTATTAAAATCTCAACGCTAAAATTACAGGTATAGTTTAGTAATACGATATATGTAAAAGTTCCCGTTTCAGGAAACCGTCCTAACTAAACAGGTTGTTCAGCATGGAACTCTGTACAGTATTCAAAACCTTATTATTACTATTTCTAGCCATAATCTTTCATTTTTGCATGAGGTATGCTTTATATAAGTACATCTCATACAAAACTCCCAAAGTTGCATGAGACTCATTTCCATGCAATATTCTAATTAAAACACTTTATATTACCACGGATTATCGTTAACTCGCTCACTGGTAATAACTCCGTTTCTCGCGAGAATTATCTATCGGTTCACTATTCCACCATTGTGAATAGCCTCGCAAAACCTTAACGAATTTAACAATTTATATATATATATAACATACTAAAAACTTATACTTACCTTAACTCAGAAAAATCGACTCCAGCCTTACCAGCGAACGAGCTAATCGCCTCTTATCAAATAACAAAATTTCGAATAATTTCTACAATCTCGCAAAAGACACGGGCAGGAAAGCTGCAACCGCGCAACCAATATACATAGATATAGGACATAAATATAGTTTATAACATATACACCTATTCGTTAGCGGGCACTCGCGCCTGTACTTATAAATTGTACGAATATATGTACACATATATATATGTATATGTCAATCGTATACTTTGACGACGATTTTTCGTAACCATTGGCTATTTCGACGACCCTTGGCTATTTTGACGACTTATGCATGTGCAGATATGTATATATATGTGTGTCCATGTGCGAGTCTGAAAACGGACGTGAGAAACAACGACAGTAAAATCATGTACATTGTACTATTTAATCATTAAAAGATTCGTCACGCACCGTTTATCGAGTCCCATGCTAGGACTGCCCCTGCACGCGCACATGTATATATACCTATAAGCATATATGCGTATGCATGCGTGCACACATGCATATTAAATAACATATATATATATATAAATATTTAATTTAGTAAACTAGTCCGATTGTGCGTTACAGCCTGTCATGATGTTAGGGATTATTCTAATACTCTCCGTTAAAACCTCATTCGCCCTGATTGGATTTGATTGTGGTGGACAGCATCTCAACATCACCGCTGTTTCTCTCTTAGATGTGGGAGAATGCAATCTCCACCATCAAACTCCGAACTCTACAGAGATCTATATACAGCTATTACAACTTTCTGAATATAATTATGCAGAAGTTATGCAATGCAAACTAGAGATATCCCGCACGATATACCACTGCGGCATGCATTCGCACATCTCGGTCGTCTTTAACGGAAGAGCGGATTACGTCCAGGAAACCGGATATTCGCAATGCATGCGAATGTTTCAAGATGGCACCACATCCCTGGGACCCGCTCACTTAATTAGTGGACTTAAAATCAATCAAACTTCTTATCACAGCCTTACGCTAGCTGGCGAATTAAAAACCGATGGAACATGTAAGGGTACGCAATACTCTGACCCTTACGGTACATGGGACAACGTAATCGTTCAAGCAGTTGCAAAGATCTCACTCAAATCATCTTACGTGCCAGTACAACTCGAACACGGTAAAATCAAGTTAAGGTCAGGAACCATCTGTACACTGGCCGATAGCTTCTGTTTGGACTCTGACGACGGTTACACCTTTTGGAAACCAGTACCAATGAAATCCTGCAACTTCAATCAATACGATGTTCTATACGAAGGACTAGCGACTAAAATAGCAGGCGATAATTCACCCATCATCTACAGTCTTACCACCCAAAACATCACATTCGCCTTAACTAAGACTAAAGAACAACCACTATGCGTATACACTCTGCTTCCCACCGAACATCCGAAATTATTTATTCTGGAAACAAAGCAAGGCCAAACCTTTGCCAATAAAGGTACGATCCCTGTGGATCACCTCGATATATTCACTTACATGAATTCCAAGTTTGTGTATGTCGAGAAACATATCCGACATCAGATGACATCCCTGTATCACAATGTCATACAACAAAAATGTGAATTGGAAAGACAAGTAATAACCAACGCCTTATTCTTTGCTACCCTCTTGCCCGACGAATTCGCGTATAGTCTTATGAAGTCGCCGGGATACATGGCCGTCACCACTGGAGAAGCTGTCCAGATCATAAAATGCATCCCCGTGGAAGTCACCGTACGTCCAACCAAAGAATGTTATAACGAATTACCCGTAACCGTCAAAAACACCTCTTACTTCCTCACGCCCAAATCAAGAATCGTCACAAAGATCGGAAACGAACGAGAATGTTCTCAAGAATTACCAACGTTATATCGAATAGAGGGCACCTGGGTACAGTTCACACCAAAGGCACAAGTAAGACAGCTGCCACCTCAACAACTGCGACCCATGGCATCTCTTACCTGGAGTTATTGATTACCTGGACCATTAGCTGTCAGTGGAATCTACACGCAGCAAGACATAGAAAAATTAAGAGATCACATTATGTTTCCCGCAGAGAAACCGGCACTGCTCAACGCCGTCGCCCGAGGGCTCATTGGACACCCAGTTAATACCGACTCCGTCTCACTATACAAACTACTAGACGAAGAATCGCTCAACAAAATCGTAGACAACACCGCGGCAAAAATATGGAGAGGATTCATGAGTTTTGGATCAGCAACGGCCGGTGTCGTTGGAGTATTTATGATCGTTCGTATTGCTAAATTGGCAATTGACACCATCATCCATAAATACGCACTACATACCGTATATGGATGTAGTCTACATCTAATAGAAGCATTATGGGACTCTTTAACTAATCTCTTGCTTTATCTCAGCCGCAAGAATATGAACGAAAAGGAAAAAAAGAACAAATTCCCAGAAGACGCCACACCTCTCGCCATCATCTCAGACACACCCCCTGCATTGCCAAAAGAACCGCCAGTGATAAGTCAGCCACAACTTTAAGATTATAACACCAGACGACCTGGAAAAATAGAATCCACAAATATCACTATCCCTCAGACGTATAACGACTTACAACAGCATCTCTATAACCTAGAACAAAACCCTAGGTCAACGTCGGGTTTTATTCTCAAATAGGAGGGGAGGTGTAACGTCCAGACAAATTTCAAAGTCTCAATCTTTTT